TTTTTTTCTTTTTTTCTTTTTTTCTTTCTTCCTTTCTTTCTCTTTCTCTCTCTGTGTGAGTGTGTGTGTGTGTCTGTGTGCGCGTGTGTGTGTGTGTGAGTGTGGTGGGTTTCAAAAAATTTTGGAACCTCTTCTGTAGGTGTGGGCCTGCTTTCCGGTAGATTTGACGAACCGGTTCTACCGAACTGGTGCGAACTGGTAGGAACCCACCTCTGGTTGGAAGGGACCTTGGAGCTCTTCTAGTCCAACCCCTTGCTCAAGCAGGAGAACCTGAACCGTTTCAGGTAAGTGACTATCCAGCCTCTTCTTAAAAACATCCAGTGATGTGAGCACCCACAACTTCTGGAGGCAACTTCTGTTCCACTGGTTAATTGTCCTCACTGTTAGAAAGTTTCTCCTTAATTCCAGGTTGCTTCTCTCCTTGATTAGTTTTCATCCATTGCTTCTTGTCCTGCCCTCTGATGCTTCGGAGAATAATTTGACCCCCTCTTCTTTGTGGCAGCCCCCCCCCCCAAAAAATACTGGAATACTGCTATCCTTTCACCCCTAATTGATTGGTCTCAATTCATTCTTTTCCAGCACTGTTGTAACTTTGTGAAACAAATGTTGATAAGCTGGAGATTACCTGCAGGATAAAATTAGCGGTATCTTTTCTTTTTTTCTTTTACCTGGAAATTGTATTTCTTACTCCATTTCTACGCCACGCTAGGCCTACCCAAAAGGGAATTGCACAATAGAAAACAACAACAACAACAGCAACTGCCTCTCCTTCTTTTTCTCCCACCTGCCAGCAGGCCCCCTAATATATGGTTCCCCCACCCACCCCACCATCTCCGTCTCCCGTTACTCTGCAGCTGGGAGAGCTGCCACTCAGTGTCAGCCTGTCAAAGGTGATGGGCGGGCGCCTGACACGGCTCTTCCATTGCAATTCAAAGTGGATTAACTTCCTGAGCGGCTTTGCATCGGGCTTGCGCGATTCCCCTTCTGCGTCTGTCTCCCGGCTTCACTTGGGCAGGTTCTACCCGAACACCGTTTCCGCTTCTGTTCCACTGTCAACATCAAGAGAAGAGGCAGCGGGCTTACAGATCAGCTTCTCCAAACAGACACACACACACAGACACACACTCCCAAATTCCAACTTTTACAGATAAAACAAGACTGAAACTAGGATCCTTCTGGTTAGAGACTATTTTTTGCCAACAGGCCAAGTCCAATTCAAGACTTAGTTTCTTTCTTTCTTTCTTTCTTTCTTTCTTTCTTTCTTTCTTTCTTTCTTTNGGGGGGGGGTCAAAAGAAAATAAGACCCTGTCTTATTTTCAGGGAAACACGGTAGCATTTGTGGACTTCAGTTCCTAGAATTCCGCCTGCTGACTTCCCTATGCTGGCTGGGGAATTCTGGGAGTTGAAGTCCACACGGGTTAAAGCAACCAAGGTTAAAAAACACTCTTCTAGGGATAAGCAAAAGTTGGCCTGAAAAAAGAATTCACAACGTTGTTCCTCAAGGTCTCCTCAACAGGTCTCTCTTCCCCTTTGGGTTCAGCACGGAGCGTGGCGTATAAGGCATTGCGTATGCGGTTTAACTCCTAAATATATATATAATTTCTCTCTCGGTATTTTATATATATGTATATATATATATATATATATTTATATCTATAAGTATGTATATATTTTACACACACTGGATTAAATTGCATGAGAATCTAGATATGGCTTTCCACGGAATGGACACAGCAGGGCGAGGCGGGATGGAGATGACAGCCAGACAGGAGCCAAACTTTGGTGAGGAAGAGGATGGGACGGGCGGCTCCTTCATCCCTGGCACACCCTGTCTCCTGGCTAGGAAAAAAAAAACCCACTCCACACGCATCACTCCTCCTGCAGAGCAGAAGTCCCGCCGAGCTTCCCTGACCCCGGATCCCATGTGCCCCAGCCCCACCTGGCTAAGCACACGACTGCGCGGATCTGGGGCGCTCCTTCCCCGCAGAGCAAGTGATGGTCAGCATGACAGAAAGAGAGCCAAGAGGGGTGCCGCAGAACTGCCCCCTTGCCAGTTCATGCTGCCCCACAGCTAGGGCGAGGGGGGGGTTTTCCCTACCCTCCCAGCTCTACCAGACACCCCCACCTGCAGGTTAAATCGAGGGTCACAAATTGGACGGAAGCCTAGACTTTGCTGAGTCCGTATCGGGGGCGCTAATGATGGAATCCTTGCGGGTACTACCCGGGTCCTGTTGAATGCCCGAGGCAGCTGTCCCAGGGTACGCGGCAGCCATGGTCATCTGGTGGGGTGCCCGGGGCGCCAGCCGCGGCGCAGCTGGTGGTGTGTTACCGGCATTCTGGGTCGAAATGGCGGCCGATGACGGCGAGGCCCCCTGCCCTGCGGCGATCGAAGCGTTGGACTCGTGAGCCGAAGACGACGGGCTCTGGCTCGGCGTTTGAGAGACGCCGTGGGGGAGGGAGGGCTGGGAGGCCGAAAGAGGCCGAGTCTCCTGGCTGAGACTGCTTGTGTGAAGAGCCTGGGTGCTCTTGTGAGCCGCCAGCCGCTGCGGCGACCCGGGCGGCTTCTGCTGAGTTAGCGAGAGCTGGGACCCCGACTGACCCTTGGCACCCCCGTATGGGAACGTCCGGCTGGCGTGAGGGCTCTGGGAAGAGGGGCTGGACACTACGGAGTGGAAAGGGCCAGCGGAAGCGGCCATTGGAGGCTGGGGAGGTGGGGGCTGCTGCTGGAGTGGGACGTTCGGCTGCGGGGCCCGCGGCATGTTCTGGAACATCGGGCCACCCAGTTGTTGTTGTTGCTGCTGTTGTTGTAGGTTCAGCTGCTGCTGTTGGTGATGCTGCTGGAGCAAGGCTGGCGAGATGGCGAAGGCCCCGGGGAGACCTCCTTGGTACTGGAGCCGGCGGACCATCCGAGGGGACCCGAGGCTGACTGGGCCAGTCAGCGGGTTGCCCATCTGCGGGCAGAAGCTCATCGCCACGGCCTGCTGGAGGGTGGCGATCGCTGAGGTGACCTGTGGCTGAACTGGGGTATACATGGGGTTTTGCTGTTGGAACTCGGCCTGTTGAACCATCTCCCGGTCGTACTTGACGATCTCCTGGATGATCTCGTTCTCCTGGTTGTTGAAGACGCCTGAATTGAGGTCGTGCTGCACCTTGTGCAGGAGAATGGAGTTCTTCTTCCCTGCAAGAGAAGACAAGAAGACGTGATTTTCTTGCATCCAAGACCACCCTCCCAAAGGTGCCTTTTCAAAAGGCAACTGGACTTGGTTTTTTCCTTGAAGGCCTTTCGCTTCTCGTCCAAGAAGCTTCTTCAGTTCTGAGCGAATGATGGTGAACAGAAGGATTTATTTCTTTGCAGTCCTCTGGTCCTTAGCATTCTCTGAGAGAATCGTTGAGGCCTCAGAGAGAGTGCTAACAACCGAATAGAATAGAATAGTTGGAAGGGACCTTGGGGGTCTTCTAGTCCAACCCCCTTCTTAGGCAGGAAACCCTACATCGCTTGTGACAAATGGGTATCCAACATCTTCTTAAAAACTTCCAGTGTTGGGGCATTCACAACTTCTGGAATTGTTCTCACTGTCAGGAAATTTCTCCTCAGTTCTAAGTTGCTTCTCTCCTTGATTAGTTTCCACCCATTGCTTCTTGTCCTGCCCTCAGGTGNATCTAAATCTCGAGCCTTGGTAACTTTAAGCCTGGCGGACTTCAACTCCCAGAATTCCACAGCCATCAAAGCTGTGAAGTGACCACGCTCATTGCTTCCTGCCCCTCAAAAATAATAAGACCTCCCCGAAAACAAGGCCAAGCACTTATTTTGGGGTTCAAAAGAAAACAAGACCCTGTTTTATTTTCGGGGAAACATGGTATATAGCATTTCTGGACTTCAATTCCCAGAATTCACCTGCTGACTTTCCTATGCTGGCTAGGATTGTAAAGGGAATTCTGGGAGTTGAAGTCCACAAATGCTGGCTGGGGAACTCTGGGAGTTGAAGTCCGCCAGGCTTAAAGTTGCCAAGGTTCGAGACCCCTGATCTAATCCAACCCTCCCCCCAAGCAGGAGACCCTACACCATTTCTGATAGATGGCAGTCCAGTCTCTCCTTGAAAGCCACCAGTGATGAAGCTCCCACAACTTCTGAAGACAACCTGAAAGGCCCAGGGGATCTGTGATTAATGATCTCTGTAACTCCACCCCAATCCCACCCCCCAAGTGAAAGGCAGGATCCACAGAAGAAGGCACCATAGGGAAAATGCGGGAGGGGAAATCACCTTACAGGCATTCCTCGACTTTCGACCACAAAGCGATGCGGTTGTTAAGTGAGTCATCAAGTCACCGGATCAAAATTTTTTGAGTATTTTTAACTGCAGTTGTGCAGTGAATCCAGTTTCCCCAATTGTCTTGGCTTGTCAGAAGCCATCTGGGGGTGGTTGTAAACCGAATCATGTAAATCTCAAGATGCCGCAATCATCATAAATGGGAGCTGACCCCGGGGATGATGTAATGCAGGTCATAATGTCGAGGACCGGTCGTAAGTCACTTTTTCTGAGGTCGTTGTTCAAATATTTGTAAGTGGAGGACTACCTGTAAGGGACTACTCCGGGGAAGCAAAATGCAAACTGATCGGGCACTTAATAGAAACGAGCGTGAAACTCCACAAAATGGCGGCTTTAATCCTGAGCTCCAACACATTTTTGGTCCTCTATTGTCCGGACGTCCACTCCCAGAATTCCCCCAANGGGAAGCCTCTGTCAGAACAGTATCTAGGAAACAGTCTGTTCCAGCACCTGATGCTTAAATCCAGACCGCCATTCCTAACAGCCAAGAGAAATGAGTCCTCATTCCGTGAGTGCCTCACTTACCGACCATTTGCAGTTGCAACTGAGATGAAAAAAGTGTCTTACCAACCAATCCTTGATTCTTGTGACTTGCGCAGGTCCGTAAAAGTAGAGGGGGCCTGCATAAGTGCACTAATATCGTCCCTGTCATTGTATTTTTATCCTTTTATTCCCGTTTTTGTTTGACAAATTCTAATAAACAGATAAAAACAAAAGGAAGCAAAGCTGAACTAGATGATAAACAGGCTCGGTTTGGCTTCGGTTTGCTTAATAACCCAAACTGCTTTTTCCTAATGGTGGTCACTAAAAGGGGGCAACCTGTATTATTATTTTAAAATTGCTGGTTCTCAAAAAAAAATAGGCAGACAATGGCTACAGCAAAGAAATAGATCAGAATTCACTGGAGACTGAGTGGTATATAAAAATTTCTTATTTTTTTACTTCAGCTAGTGGCTGTTTTCCAATACGGGTAGTCCTCGGCTTATACCATTCGTTTAGTGACCATTCAAAGTTATAGTGGCCCTGAAAAAAAGTGACTTATGATCATTTTTCACCCTTATGACCACTGCAGCATTGCACATAATCAAAATACGGATAAATATTAATGACGGTTGCAGTGCCCAGGGGTCAGGTGATCCCGTTTTGCGACCTTCTTGCAAGCCAAGTCAATGTGGGAAGCCAGATTCACTTAACAACCGTGCTACCAACTTAGCAACTGCTGTGATTCACTTAACAACTGTGGCAAGAAAAGCTGCAATGTGGGGCAAAACAGTCAGAAGAAGTAGCCTGCAGTACTGCACTGTAACCACTGTGCCACCACGCAGTGGTGCACAACTGGACACAGACTAAACACAACAAATGGGCTGTTGTTTTATAAGGAGAAGCCTGGCCCAGTGCTTCCCCAGACCCTGCAGACAGGACATTCTGCCTAAGACTGGTTTGGTGGCTGTGTGGTGTAGTGGTGCTAGACTAGGGGTGGAGAGAGATTTTGGTTCCTGCGTCAGCCGCCACCGAAACTCACTGGTTGCTCTTGGGCCCGTCTCTCCTTCTCAGGCCAAGCCATTTGCTGTGTGGGGAAAGCCTAATGTTTTAATTAAACTCAAATACTTTGGCCACCTAATGAGAAGGAAGGACTCCCTGGAGAAGAGCCTCATGCTGGGAAAGATGGAGGGCAAAAGAAGAAAGGGATGACGGAGAATGAGGGGGCTGGATGGAGTCCCCGAAGCAGTCAGCGCGAGCTTAAATGGACTCCAGAGGATGGTAGAGGACAGGAAGGCTGGGGACAACACGACTTTGCAACAAACAACAACAACGCTTTAAAAACAATGCTAATTCTCAAATGATCACCTGGTCCATGCAAACCAAGTCGCCGGCCACCCAAGAAGCTACAGAAAGCACGTTTCCTCCCTTGTTAGAAACAAAACCTCTAACTAAAGATATTCACAGTTGCTTTTCTGCATCTCACTGGGTGCCCTAACAGATTAACAGAGTTGGAAGGGGCCTTGTAGGCATCTAAATCTCGAGCCTTGGTAACTTTAAGCCTGGCGGACTTCAACTCCCAGAATTCCACAGCCATCAAAG